AAGTAGCTTTGATTGGTGTTTTGTATATAGTACGATATGACCATAATACTTTTGTCATCTTAGTATGACATTCTCTTTTATTTTTAGTTAAAATTTTCTTGAGTAGCTTTACCAGCGTTTTGTTGAAGGCTTATGCTAATCCATTTGCTCTTAGATTATAAATCAATAAATATCGCCAATCGATTTTATGTCGATCAACGAATATGTAAATCTTGGTATTTTTAAAGCCTGGGTTATATGAGATTATGCGACGCGATACATCAAATATGTAGACAACAACTTTTAATTCAAATTCATTCAAAAATATTACAATATAACTAGAGTTTATGAAATTATAATAATGAAAAGAAAATACAATTAGTACAACCCTAATGGAAATAGGAAATAAGCTTTTTTTTATTTTTTATTTGGACCGTTTCTTGATTTATGCGTGTCATCCTTGCGCAGGGGACATGCTAATCTTCTCTGTATCGTTCCAATTTTATCGGATGTCTCCTAAGAGACAAAAAATAGGAAATAAGCTGATTCATAATGTTAGGAATGCATACAATATTGTAATGAGCAATTTTATAGACATGTAGGATAGAAGTAATGCAATTTAGGAGCACAAAGATGGACATCCGACAAGAGGGAAACTCCTCCCACATGGTCAAATTCATCTCACCGATATGATAATATCAAGCTTTGATCTCTATCGATACAACAGTAATGTTGGTCAAGAAAACAAGTTCCTAAATCCTGCAATAATAAGCTTTCTAATAGGATTTAACAAATTATGATAAGCACCAAATATGGACTGGATTGGTTTGTACCAAATATGGATTTGATTTTGAACATCTCCCTCAAGCTCGGTAATAAATATTCAGCATTCCTAGCTTAGTTATTGAGTTGTCAAAGTATCTTCTTGAGAAATATTATGGACATTAGCAATTTGTAGATGGATCAGTGTGTGAATAAGAGAAATAATCCCTTGATCAACCTTTTCCAATTTGTAGATGGATCAGTGTGTGAATAAGAAAAATAATCTTTTGATCAACCTTTTCCTTTATGAAGTGACAATCAACTTCCTCAAACTTAGTTATTTCATAATGAGCATGATTTTTGTAATACTTATTACAGCTTGGTTGCCACAGAATAATCCAATCAGTTTCAAAAAGTCAACTCATTGAACTGTTGTTGTAATCGAATTCTTTAACAAATCCCATGCCCTATTGCACTCCAAATTTTGATTAAACACTGCCGCTAGCCACAACAGGTTGTTTTTCTTTCTATAGCTCACTAGATTATCTCATATGAATTGCACGAGGTAGATTTACAGTCAGCCACCAACACTGAGCAATCTACATTGATGAAAACTTTAATGTTTTTCTTTATTTTTATTTTTTATTTTTTGAAAAATAATACTCTTTCTGAGGTTTTTTAGGTATCTTAGGATTCGATCAAAATATCTGTGTTCTTCTATGAGGTGGTCAATGAATTGATTGACTAAGCTAACACAAAAGAAAATATTAAGTGTAGTATGACCTCGAGGTAGATGAGTTTGCTAACAAGTCTCTATTATTGATCTTTATCAATAGTAGCATTTTCTTCTTTTATCATTAGCTTGGCATTAAAGTTTTATAGGAGTATATACTGGTTTGCATTCAAATATTCTCTCTCTCTCTCTCTCTCTCTCTCTCTCTCTCTCTCTTTGTTCAAATCTTGCCAATCGCTGTTGCAATTGTGCAATCTCTCTTTGTAAGTCTTCAATCAAGACTTCTTGAACAGGCCGTTGCGGATTCCGACGAGGCGGCATGATGCCGGCTCTGATACCACTTGACACCGGACTGTGAACAAGTCGCGGCGGCAGCGAAGAATTCCTTCCTCAAATGGAATACCCGATCCTTGCCAGAACTATGGCCGGCGAATACAACCCAGAACACCACCACCTGACGTCGTCAGGATACAGAATATCTCACAAAGAGAAAATGAGATTTGATAACACCAAAACAATAGCTGTTTCTTATTACGTGAAGCTTATTATTTATACACATGTATTCGGCCACATATTTGGCTATACAAAGAAACAAATGAACAAACAACTATGAGCTGAAGTTTTGGTAATACAATCTCCAAAAGAAAACAGGGTCTTCTGCTGTCCACCGTGAGCTCCGGCGTCACTCAATCCCTAGGAAGTACTTTAGGTTTTCCAAATATTTGATTTCTGAGTTTTTGGTGAAAATTTGTTTGATGATTGCTTATTCATCATTGAAATCTCCCATAAGTGAGTATCAACCACATAAACAGTAGGGATAGTTGGTTATCCTTAATATGATTTCCTTATATATAGAGTATGGTTAGCTTGATATGGATTATACCTATACTTCTAATAATGGTGGAGAATTTATCAAACCGGGTTCAAGAAGTTGTTGAGATTTCTTGAGTATGGTCACTTTATTAGTAGGGAACTGTGAGTGAAACCCATGAAGTATTTTCATATATATTTTATTTTCAGGATCACCATTAAGAAGGTCCTTATTTACATCTAATTGATATACTAGAAATCAAGATTGGTAGCAAGGGATATTGTTAATGAAACTATTGATTTACTAGGTATTGTTAATGAAACTGTTGTAAACCCAACTGACTCAGGATATTCGAAATGAGTGAAACTAAGACTTTCACCTAAGGGTTTGGATCATGTAAAATAATATGTTATCTTAAAGTTGTAAATAATCACTTGCAAACTGCTTATATGAAAGAGCTGGTCTTAGATTTGCCTAAATAAATCTTTATTCTTTAATTAGAACAAGGTAAAAGAACTTTTGTGCAATAAATATACTAATGAAATTAAAGAAACCTAGAGTATCTTTAATGACAATTTAAATCAGCAAACAAATTAATTAGAAAATTAATTATTTCTAATTAATTTGAGATATATTTTTTGCTTTGCAATGCACAGATATGATACGAGAAACTTGCAACCAATTAAACCTAGAGATAACAAGGTATTTGATTAAATAAGCCTAAATATATTCCAAACTACAACAAGATGAAGCTTATTTGTCAAAACGGTAAACAAAATTATAAATCTTTAATAAAAAATCTTGCTTAGTTGAATATAAACAAGATAAATGCAAAGAATCATAAGATTAGCCATCAAAGACAAACTAACACAAAGATTTATGTGGTTCAGCATTCTTGTGTCTATATCCATGGGGAGAAAGAGAGGGTTAAGTTTTTATTAAGATGCACAATCAAGTTACACAAACCTAGGTAAATCTTCAAAGTAAAACAAATTTCATCATTTAAAGATATAAGAAACAAAATAACCTGATTATATCTTGAAGAAACAAAAAGAGGAAGAAAACCCTTAATCAATCGAACCTCTAATCTTCGGTCACGTGAAAGAATAGTACAAGAAGAGGTTTTTGTTCCTTCTTCTCTCAGTTCACCTAGGTCACATGCAAACAAGGGCTTCCCATCATTTTCTTCCCTCTTCTATTATCTAAAATAGCAAGCCTTCTACTTGTCTCCCTCTTCTGAACGCTTGAACGTTCAATTTCGCTTCGCCCAGGTTCTCGCCCAACTTCTTGCTTCCACACGTAGGTTGTGATCTCCTAATCTTCAATCGTTTCACCTCTCTTTTCATAGCTTTAGTACCACGTCTCCCTCTTATGTTGTATACATGCAAATGCATAGAGAAATTTACAAAATGCATGCACTCTTCTATAGCGATAAATTTGATGCCTATTCTCTTATTTTCGATATTGATTTGATGATATGGTATTGTACATATACCACCTACTCATGGATGTGCTGTTAGGATTTAATGGAGACAGAAAAATAATTCGATCGTCTCTGAAAGACATGCCAAATCATCGATAAGAAATTTTTGGAAGCGTACCTGAATCCATTGAAATACAGAATTGAGGTTTTCGGTTTTCCACGTTTGAAGCGGCGTTCTCCAAGAGAGTGAGAGACTCCTTCTTTTCACTTAAGATGAGAAATGAGGGAAATGAGAACTTAACTGCTTAAATTGGGGACTACGACCCTTTTATACTTTAAGTGTAAATATTTTATTGCAGCCCATCATTAAAATAAAATAAATACCGAGCCTCTACATAAATTAATTCTATACAAATTTAATTGAGATGCTATATAAGCCAAATAATAATTTAATATTTAAATAGATCACGAATTTAATTGGCTTAGTTTTAGATAGCTTCTATTGTATAAAACTTTATTTATATGTATAAGTATATGGACCTACTTATAAAAATTTATCAACGTGTGATACTCTGATCAACAGCCTTATGAGATTTTTAACAAGATTCTTCATAACATAGAATTGCATGCAACTGTGGCATACTTTGACTGTATTGTACTTTAAATCTGAACCATTGCCCAGATATTAGTTTATTTTTACCTGATTTTACTGCTTTATATTTATTTTAAGGAATAGGAGGGTCACATTGTGTCCCAAGGATGGGCTTCGTTGTAATTGTTAGTGTACCCATGAAACCTTGCGTTCAAAAGTCAAATTGAAAAATAGCATCTACGAAATGGAGGGGAAAGGTCGTTAGCAAGAACCACTCAAACCCAATATATTGTTGGAGCGTTGTACACTTTTATAGGCCTAGCCCCTGGGCAAGTTTGTTCAGGTTAAATTGGTTTGTTTTTTGTATTCTTCAAACTTTAAACTAAGAGTGACACCTGATGATCAAGTTGGTCCCAGGACAAAGCCACTGACTTCTACGTGTTTAAATTAACAATTTGTGGTATCTGTTTATTCAGCGACTTAGAGCCCAAGTTCAATAATTGCTGCAATTGCATTCATTTGCTTAGCAATTTAGGCTTCGTTTGAGACGGCTTTCTTATTGTTTCTTAAAACAGCTTTTAGTACAAAAGTTAAAGTTTTTGTACTCAAAAGCTGCTTTAAGAAGCAGTAAAAAAGCCGTTCCAAACGAAACCTTAATTGGCTCTTCTTTGCATTGCATTAACTTATCTTTTACTTGTAGATTTGGCATGACAATATGCCTTATGATAAACTTGCTGAGAGAAAAGGACATCAAGGCTGGATGAAGGAAGAAGGGCCATACTTCATATTCCCCGGAGGTGGCACCATGTTTCCTGATGGAGCTGTACAGTATATTGGGAAGCTTGGACAATTTATTCCTATCAAAAACGGTCTTTTGAGGACAGCGTTGGATCTGGGTTGTGGGGTAATTTACAATCTACTGTGTCTCTCTACTGGTGTTTGATTTTACTCATGAAATTGCTCTGGTCACTGTTTTACTCTTTTGATCACCATACCATTCTCTTATTTTGTTCATGAAGGTTGCTAGCTTCGGTGGTTTCCTTCTAAAAGAGAATATTATTACACTTTCTTTTGCTCCAAGAGATTCTCACAAATCTCAAATACAATTTGCACTAGAAAGAGGAATACCAGCTTTTGTGGCTATGCTAGGCACTCGCCGCCTTCCATTTCCTGCATTCTCGTTCGATTTGATCCATTGCTCTCGGTGTTTGATCCCCTTCATTGCTTACAGTGAGCCATTTTTTGTTTCATTTGATCTGCAGCTCATTTGCATCATTCATGTCTTGCTTTTATTCAATCTTTTCTGTCTGCAGATGGAACTTATTTTACTGAAGTGGACCGTCTACTTCGACCTGGAGGATATCTGGTTATATCTGGCCCTCCTGTGCAATGGCCTAATCAGGATAAAGAGTGGTCTGATCTCCAATCTGTGGCACACGCTTTATGTTATGAACTTCTTACTGTGGATAATAACACAGTCATCTGGAAGAAGCCTACTGAATCATCTTGTCTTCCTAACCAAAATGAATTTGGGCTTGATCTATGCAGTGAGAATGACGACCCTAATGAAGCATGGTAAATAGTTATTAAAAAAAACATATAATCTTGTCTGCAGTGGACCAATTTTGCTATTGAATGTGCACAAGGGCGGATCTGCTATATGCCTCCCCAGCCCCCCCCCCCAAAAAAAAAAAAATTTCTTATATAATTATTTAGGCAATTTGTCCCCTTCCATCTATTTTTTAGTCTTCATTACAAGGGTTTTTAGGCAATTGTCTCCCTAAAAGTTTTAAAATATTATGATCTTTAGGCAATCGCCTCAACACATCGAAGCAGGTCGAACCCCGCAAGGGGGCGCTACCCCCCTTGGACCCTCTATATATCTGCGAAGTGTACAACGATCAATAATATGAACAAATAGGGGTCAAGAGGCAGCACCCTCGAAATAAATTTTGGTTGTAAAGTTATTTATGAAAAAAAAATCTCTACATTTTTACTTAAAAGTTAGCCCCCCCTGAAAATTAAGGCCGGTTCCGCCCCTGAATGTGCATGTTTCTTAAATTGTTGTAGGTACTTTAACCTGAAGAATTGTGTCAGTAGAATTGCTATTGAGGGAGAAACAAGCTTGGGGTCGATTCCAAAATGGCCAGAAAGGATATCAACACCACCTAGCAGGCTCTCACTTATCAAGAATGGTAATGATATATTTGAAGCTGACACAAGGCGCTGGGCTAGAAGAGTTGACTATTACAAGAAAACTCTGGGTTTAAAGCTAGGGAATCCAGAGATACGCAATGTTATGGACATGAATGCTTTATTTGGAGGATTTGCAGCAGCGCTGTTGTCTGATCCTGTATGGGTTATGAATGTTGTTCCTGCTAGAAAGCCATTAACTTTGGGAATTATTTATGACAGAGGCCTCATTGGAGTCTATCATGATTGGTAAGGTCTTACTACTTTTATTTCTATCATTTTAAAGTTCCTGATAGATTTGGAAATTTAGGTTTCGTTTGTGACGACTTTTCTTTTTGTTTCTTAAAGAAGTTTTCTAGTAAAAAATTAAAATTTTGTACTAGAAAACCGCTTTAAGAAACAGAAAAAAAGCCGTCCCAAACAAAGCCTTAGTTGTAATGCTTTTCAGAGCAAAACTAGATATATTGAAAAATCGTATGTCATTCTATGCATGCTAATAGTATTTCTGGTTCAAGGTGTGAAGCTTTCTCGACCTATCCCCGAACTTATGATCTAATCCATGTTGTGGGAATCACTTCCTTAATAAGAGATCCAACTTCTGGCAATAGCAGGTAATCTGGCCTTGATAATAACTTGTTCATCTGCTCCACAAACTAGTCGTTAAATCTTCCTATTTATTTTTTAATGCTCATCACCTGTACTTTTAGCATCTAAACAGAGCCCCACTTGTTCTGAAATTTTGTTCCAGATGCCACCTTCTTGATCTCATGGTCGAAATGGATCGGATTTTACGTCCCGAGGGAAAAGCTGTGATGAGAGACTCATCTGAGTCCATTGAAAAGGTGGCACGGATCGCCCGAGCCATCCGGTGGACCGTCGAAGTTCATGGCGGCGAACCAGAATCACACAGTGGAGAGAAAATCCTTGTGGCAACCAAGACTTTCTGGAAATTGCCTTCATCTTCACACTAATACCTGCATTCTTCTTTGTTATTACTTCCCCTTAGATGATGGATTTCATACAGTAAAGAAAAAAGGAAGAGATAAAATGGCATCCCTCTATTGTAGACTTGGCAATCATACAGCCTGAAGTGCAAGTGAGCCACAGTGGTAGGAGGCATAGGATCTGTTTAGCTGGAGAAATTATTATGTGCGGAGATCTGACGCAGAACGCGTCCGGAGACCAATCAAAATATTCCACATCAGCAGTACCGAGCCTCGGTATCGAGCGAATGAGTGACATGGCGCATTCTGATTGGTCTCCGGACGATGTTCGACCCCCGCGCATAATAATTACACGTTTAGCTGTGATTGATCTCTGGATTACGCTATAGCGTTACTAAAAATGCATCCTTTGTATTTATATATTCTTTTTGTTATTAGTACTAAGTGATTTCATATTCAATTTTCTTTCTAATTATGAAGAGGATAAGATGTAACGCCCATCACAACCTGCTCTAAGTTTATTGCCTTTGCTTAGAAAAGCCTTACAGGTGATTGGCTTTTAGCCTTTTAGAACATAAATTCATTGCAATCATAAAAATCATCTTTTTGATGTGAAGGCCTTCTGAATCAAGGTTGGTATAGCTGATTGATGGTCGCCATTAGGGTTCATTGGGGATGTTTTGATGTTAGGTGAAGATTAGTGACTTGTTTGGTCATTCCCTTCCTTATGTGAGGAGATATTAAAGACTAAGAAAATAGGTGTTAAACATCAGTGAATGATACACATCACTACTAAAAAATAGGGCAATTGCAGCATAATTTTTTACTTATCCAAATGGTTATAACCTCTCCGACAGCAGCTGCACGCTCGGTTTGCTTCGCTCGAGTTGCACGCAGGAAAGAAGAGGGAAAAACGGTGTCGAGCTTCAAATCTCGTACAGAAATTTGGGAATTAAGAATTCTGGTGGAGCTTTACCAACAGTTAAAATAGGTGCTAATTGCAACGATTAAAACTAGTAGTCAAAATAATCAACTTGATGAGATAAGTACGAAGGATCTAAGATCACTCAATTTTGAGAATATTAAAACATTGAGATCTTTAAAAGATATTGAATGACGAAGATGTTCAACTCCAATTATCTAATGAAATGTTCTAATTTATGGTTGAAATGATCAACAGAGCTTTGTATTGGGTACACATACCCACACCCACCCATGTACCCACCCATACCCATTGGGTGGGTATGAGTGGATACCCAATATCGACGGATAAATCGATTTACATTGCTAATCATCGTATATCTTATATTATTACAATCCTCACTATATAGTGTGCTACTCTTAACTAAGCTACGACTATGGTAAAATCTGATATGCGACTTGAAAGTTTGCAATCATAGCAAAGGGCAACAAGCCTCAAGGCCATCAGTCTGTGGCAGACTGCATTCAAAAAGCATGAAAAGTGGGTAGGTATAGGTGGGTATGATATCTCGAAAGTCATAATGGGTGGACGTGGGTGGGCGAAGCCTGTCCGAATAAAGCATGATTACCTAATGGGTACCCAACCAGGACCCCATATAGGACTTTGATGATCAGCTTATGTCCCATCATAAATATATAAAGAATCAATAATTCTATATATTCAAAATGGTAGTTTTGCATGCTCATCTTTCTTAATATTACTATGTAAAACATTGAGATCTTTAAAAGATATTGAATGACCAAGATGTTCAACTCTAATTATCTGATGAACTGTCCTAATTTATGGTTGAAATGATCAGCAGAGCCCTGTATTGGGTACCCATTACCCGCACCCACCCATGTACCAATTCGTGCTGTTTCGGATTAAACATTTCAATCCGTTTCAAAAATCGGGTTAGGTTCGGGTTAACACTTTGGCCCGAAATTGACCCAACTTTGATCCAAAAATCCAATTTTGACCCGTTTTTGACCCGAAAAAGAGGAGATATACCCATTTTTTACCCTAAAAAGAGAAGATAGACCCATTTGACCCAAAAATTAGCAATTTTTTTGGAAAACGGGTCATTCGGGTCGTGTCAGGTTGACCCAGACCCGAAGCGGGTCGGTTCGGGTCAGGAAACTGACCCGTTTTCAAAAAATGGGTCGGGTTCGGGTTGACCCGAATAGTTTCGGGTTAGACCCGAACCTGACCGGTGACCCAAAATTGACACCCTTACCTAAAAGAAACATGTTGAATTGCACTTATATTTATATAAATAGCCATGATAACTACGCATTTAGAAAAAATGAGAAATATTAATATTTGCTTTGCTTTTGATTACCTTGAGGATCAATCATAGGCTTAAATGCCAGAAAGGAGGGACCTCGTAACAGATGTAATTGAACATAAAAGGGTAAGTTGGCAATAATGTAGCCAAATAGTTCTCATTAACGAAAGTATTTTGCAAGGAAAGCAAGGAACCAGTTTGTTCATGAGATGAAGAATCCCAGTTCGTTAATAATAGCTTCTGAGGCTGTTAGCTATACTGCAAGTACAAAATTCTATACCTGCTCAAGCTCAGGCTTTGAGGATGCTAATCAACCAACTAGGTTGTCGAATTCTTGGCACCCTCCTCCACCTGATTGGATCAAAGTCAACATAGACGCGGCACTACACAACTCCTATAAGGCGGGCATAGGAGGAGTATTCAGAGATCATCATGGTAGACTACTGTTGGCCTTCAATAATAAACTCATTCATTGGGATTTAGCTGCATTAGAACTTCTAGCCATCACTTCTTTAAAACATATGATCAAAGAATGGATGTTGGAGTACAAAGGCTTGATTATTGAAAGAGATAACAAGAACGTAATCAATCTTATCAAGAAAGAAATGGCTGCAGGTAACTACAATACTATAGATCTTTTTTTTATTATGTTATCTTTAATTATGTTGATAGGGAGAGAAATAAACTAGCTGATTTTTGTGCTAATTATGCTTGTTTTAACTCTTTTCTTTGGGATGATGAAACTTGGAATAATATCCCTCTATCCTTTATTAAATTGTTAGAGGAGGAGTCGGATATTAGTTAGTTGTAATTTGCTTTCAGCTTTTTAATATAGCATTTCTGTTTTCTTCAAAAAAACAAAAAAAAACAAAAAAACACGAGAGTATTTTGCATCAAAATATATGAGAGAAGATAATCACTAATGTGTGTCACCCATGGGAATTTTTATTGCGTCCTCCCACCTGACGCAGAGATGCGTCCTCCCAGAGCTAAAATCGCGCTAAAAAATGAGAAATGCCAAGCAAATATCGAGCAATACCAAACAATAACGAGGAATATCATCATGTGAAGACCAATACCGAGCTATACCGAGCAATACAAAAAATACGTAGTTTTTTCTAGAGAAAACTCGTTATGTGCTCGGTATTGCTCGGTATAGCTCGGTATAACTCGGTATTGGTCTTCACATGATGATATTCCTCTTTATTACCAAATAATATCTAGCAATACCGAGCAAAAATCGTGTTTTTTGGCATTGGGAGGACGCATCTCTACGTCAGGTGGGAGGACGCAATAAAAATTCCACCCATGAAAGAAAGATGGATTATTTGGGGTCATTAGTTGTTGATCTGGGTCACTAGTGATCACTAACAAGAGCGCTCATATAATGAGAGAAAGAAAATAAAAGGAGAAAAAATTCTTTTCAAAATTTTAATGTGGAAGAGCTTTAAAATCAATATGATTTTAAGGTAAGTGCGATAACAATTATTTATATATTAAAAATAAAAAATAATAATATAAATGACATACATTTTATCCTATTGAAGCATTTTAAATACATAAAAAAAATTATTTTGCTTTATATGAAGCTTTTAACTAGTATTTTTCTCACCCAATTTTTGTCCCATTAAACACCATTCACGTTTCTCCGCTCATCAAAAACTAAAAAGATATTTGAAAATTGGCGTCGCCCGGGTTCGAACCGGAGACCTTCAGTGTGTTAGACTGACGTGATAACCAACTACACCACGACACCAACTGCTTCTTCTCGCATAACAAATTTTATTAGTAGAGAAAACTTTAAGCCGATAATTAGTTTAAGAATTCAGATTGCATGATATATCATTTTAACTAATACTAAAATAATAATAAGCACAAATAATAACGTTTTTCCTTTATTCAACATTTTAAAAATGTTGAGCCGAATCTCATGGAATTATTTAGTCCATGAAAGAGCATTTCATTAATCTATATAGCATATATTAATCCAATAATATTGCAATAATTTTTAAAGATGAGCTACTTTCTTAGCAAATCAAGTGATATTTAGATCTAAAGCTAAAAATTTTGTGTCAAAAACTTTATGGAGGTAGGCTGAGAAATTAAGTAGGTAGGATCCAATAGAAGGACATGCAAGAAGAGATACATAGAACTAGGAAACTAAAAAGATCAAGGCTTCAAAACATTATAATTGTTGCGTCCTGGAGTATTCGCGACGGTAGAGAAATATAAAGTTTAATGTCTTAATGTTGTACGAAGATCCAGCACACATACAGATAAAAAGATTGGGTGCGTTATTCACTAGAGACACCAATATTTTTACGTGGAAAACTTATAAAACCCCTCAAAAGCTGCTTTTTTTAGTGCTGTTAGTCCGTACGAACTGGCCTTAGTTCATCTGTACGAACCTGGAAGGGTCGGGACGAACCGTCGGGACGAACTGAACCCGAGAGTTTCGTCCAGGGACGAAATAAATTTGAATTAATTTCGTCTGTACGATCCGTGACCAGAGTAGTTCGTCCCGGGATGATCTGGGCATCGTCCTGGACGATCCTGCTTGATAAATATCCGATTTGAGATATTTTGGATCATTTTGAAGAGAGAGAAAAGGCAGGAGAGAGAAAGAGAAGGAAAGAGAAAGAAGAAGCTTGGTTTTGGAGGCCGCGGAGCGCTTTTCGTCCTACGACGCAGTTGGAAGATTTATTTATCTCGCAGTAAGGACTCCGAATCCTATTTCTGATTTTGAAGATTTCCAGTTTTGATAATTCTGTGCTCAGTTTTGTGTTTCCGTTACCAAATAACGCATATTATTTTGTATTGACGAAAGTTTTACCGCGCAACTTTTGATATGTTTCTGATATGATATTTCTGCACGATTTGAGTATCTTCTGTAAAGTTTCTATCGGTAATTTTGAGTTCTGTGCGATTTTTATCGAATAGGAAATTATCAGGATGTTGAAAAATGTTGCTTCAGTACAAGTAAAGCTTTGAAACGTTATTTTATTCGATTTCTGATAATTTGATAATTTTCGGGAACTGTGCATTTTGAAACGACGTCTGTCTACTATACGATATTTTAAGGAGTTTTCTACATTGAGCTAAATTGAATTTATTAATTAGATTACCTTATTGATATGCATATGAATGTGCTTATATGATTGAATTATTATTATTGTTACTGAAAGACAAGTGAAGACTGGTTGAACCGTTGGTTGGAGATTGACTTGACCTATACAGGATGGTGGGCTGACAAGCTTTCCTTTAAAAAGGATTTGGCGATATCCTCTTTTGATCATTGATATAACGATTGGGAGTTATAAGGAGATTATTATGCCGACGGGCAACCGACGGGCACAGAGTGACGACTCTTATTGAGCCAACAGATATATTTATGGATTTCTACAACAGCACTATGGGCTTATATGATTAAATTATTGTTATTGTTACTGAAAGACAAGTGAAGATTGGTTGAACCGTTGGTTGGAGATTGACGTGACCTGTACAGGATGGTGGGCTGACGGGCTTTCCTTTAAAAAGGGTTTGGCGATATCCTCTATTGATCATTGATATAACGATTGGCAGTTATATTAAGGAGATTATTATGCCGACGGGCAGCCGACGGGCACAGAGTGACGACTCTTATTGAGCCAACGGATATATTTATGGATTTCTACAACAGCACTATGGATTATTGAATTTAAAAACACCTTAATAGCTAGTGATTGTACTTGTTCAGTAAGACTATTATATTGAATTGCATGTGTACAGTATTGTCCTTATGATCTCATTATGGATTTTATTGACATTGACTTGTATGGATTTCCTGATATGAATTGATCTATTGATTACTGATTGATTTATTGATTACCCTACGCATGATTGATATCGAAGGAATTATTGTTAGCGAATGGATTTATTGATTTATTGATATTGACGGATTTATTGTATTGAATTGATTTATTACTGAATGGATTTACTGAAGGATTTACGGGTTTACTGTTACTGTACGATTTCATTGATATTGCATGTTATTCATGTCACTGGATACCGACACCGATATGGATATGGATATTGTATTGATTCATGGATACAGATACCGATATTATTGATTTATCGATATTATGGATTCATTGATTCATGGATACTATTGATACTACAGATACTGATACCGATACTACTGATCCACTGATACATTGATTCATTGTATTGATTCTTATAGCACGTGATTATTGATGTATTGATTTGATTGATTTATATGATTTTATTGATTTGATTTCTACTGTTCACTGATTCTATCATTGATGATTTTGAGAGTCTATTATTTATGCTTTAATTTCTATTTCTGTACTGATTTTCGTATCTGCTGCATAGATTCATTGATCATGTGCAACTGACTGTTATGGATCTGATTGATTGACATGCATATTGTTTCAGTACTGTGTTTTGATTTCAGTTATAGGTATTAGGTGACCTGCTGGGCTTTTTGAAGCTCATTATATGTGGTTAACAATTTCAGGTCAGAGCAATGGAGTAGGAAGTGATGGTTGATCAAGACTGTCGACGAATCCTTTCACTATGGATGCTTGGGGCGTCACAAAACTCCTGAAAAAGGGGGGAAAATCATAGGGTATAGCCCAGTTTGAATGAATCCACTAGTATTGTTGTTGATTACAAATGAGGCCCTTCCTTGGGGGAAGGCCTTAACTTGATGTACATCTTATAGAGTACATTACATGGTGAGAATACAAAGAATCATTGTTGACATGTTTGTTTGGTCGAAAGGACCGTAGTCGATAGGCAACATAAGTTGGAAGGACCATAGTCGGCGGGCAACGGAGGTCGAAAGGACTGTAGTCGGTGGGCGACAGAAATCAGAAGGACCGTAGTCGGCGGGCGATCGAGGTCATAAAAATAGTTGTCTGGCGACGAAGGTTAGAAGGATTGTGTCAGGTAAAAGTCTAGCAATGGACAAAAATCCAGCATCAGATAGATGTCCTGCGAAAACCCGATAATGGGCATAAGTCCGGCGTTGGATAGAAATCTGCCGACGAGTGGAGCTCATGTGTCGGGTAGAAGTCCGACGTCAGTTAGCGGCCTGGGGAAACTCCGACGTTAGATGGTATTCGAGCACAACTCTAGAGTCACTTGGAGATTAGATAGAATTCAGGCGTCATTTAGAGATCGGGTAGAGTTTCGGCATCACTGGAAAGTCGGGCCGAATTTCGACGTCACTTGGAAGGGGCAAAATTCCGGCATCACTTGGAAGTCAGTAGGAATTTCAGCGTCACTTGGAAGTCAAACGGAATTCGGACGTCGTTTGGAAGTCAGGCAGAATCCCGACGGTGGTCGAGGAGGAGTTTCTTCCCTCCTACTCTTGTCTTCTTCTTCTTGCATCGGTCCCCACTTAACAGAAATTCCTCCTGACTTCCAAACGTGGCATGACCCGTAAATAGTTTTCTGAGAGTGGCATGACCCGTAAATAGGGGGAGGATCAAGGGCAAATGTGAAGTAGATTGGATGGACGGCTGATATTGAATCCCTTGATTGTGAACTGTTCATCAGACATTTGATGGTCTTAATGATATCGGAATTTGGTGATATTGGGCTCGTTGGATTCGTCTCATCGAGCCACTCGATTCGACAATAAGCATGTTTTATTTGAAAATTGTTTGGTAATCTAAATTATGGATTAAACCTTCCGAATGTGCTTCGGGTCTTCGATTTGGACCCATTTGGGCTCGGATCGAGTTGAATTTGGTGTCGTTGGGTGCGTATTTTCGAGACGATCAGTTCGAATGTAAGTTTGCTGAAAACGAATTTCAGATGATCCCGAATTTAATTTTTGAAGTTTCCAACTTGATTTTTGCCTCAAGATTCGGGTCTGATAAAGATAATTTTTTGATGGCATATCAATAATATTCATCATCTCCCCTTCTTATGATACATTGCTTATATAAGCTAGCAAGAACATTCTAGAAATCATATAAGATACTAGGTAACATGTTCCTAAAGCTGCATTTAGTTAGGATGTTTCTACATCAAGAAATTTTCGAAATATTGCATAACACAAATAAGAGAATTGAATTGGGAGTATAATATTTTTTATGTGAAAAATAAGAAAACTAGAAAATATTGCTTTCATTCAAAAAAACATTATGATAATATGTTAAAAATAAAATAAAAATTAAATGAAAATAATAAAAAATCACTTAAATTAAGAAAAGATACACAAATTTTATAGGATATTAACACCCTTATACTAAAATAATTGAGTTTTAATATATTTTATAAGTATTTTATTTTTATATGAACAAATTTTTAAAAAGCGTCCGCACGAGCTTTCAAGTTGAGATGGGTTAGTTCAAATTTACTTATTAGTTTTTCAAGCTTGACTCATATGCCATTTACTAAGTCAAGTCTGACTTTGACCACAAGTTGACTTGACTCAACTAAATCTCTAACGAAAAAATTCATTATAGATCTATGACTACTAAGATCTACTATATTTTGTTAGCTCAATCTAAATATTCAATACATTTTATCAAAATAACATAAAGATTTACTATATTTTGTTAGTTCAATCTTATTGATTTATTGATCTTATCAAAATAACATAAAGATTCTGTTTGACTTAAAGAAATAAAAGATAAGACATGAAATAAATAAAAATGTAAAAGAAATGAATTAAAATTAATATGCATCTCCTTATTTGGTTGGGAAGAAATTGAGTAGAAATTATTTTTTAATGTTTATTTAATTGATGATAAATTGAATTTTTTTTATATATATAAAAAATTAAATCAATGTGTTAAATAATTATTTTATCTATTATGGAATGGAAAATTGCCAAATAAGAAAAAAATATTTGCTCACATTTCTTAGACTAATGCAATTTTCCATTTATTACGTTAAAAATAAGCTCTTATTATAAAATTATAAAATACAGAAGATCAATCCATATATTTATTTTTGAAAAATCAATAAAATTATTGGTCTTGCATCCCTTTCCTGTAGAGAATATAAGGCATTCAAGTAAGAGAAAAAAAATCAGAATGACTGAGATCATATAGAAAAGAAACAGATCTAACAACACATAAAATATGTACCGCGTAAGAGACCACTCGCACCTCAAATCGCTAGTCCCACTGAAGAATCAAATCACCTGATTCTCAGCTATTTACAAACAAATTGAACTGCAGCGCAACATTCAATCTAAACTATATTCAAAATACCAGCAAAAGCAAATTTACAAAAGACTCCGGTCCTGCTCAAAGAAGAGAGATTCTCATTCTTCATAGTTCAATTCCCGCAACTCCATCTCGATGTGGGTACACAGTTTATATAGTGGCACCATTTGCAATGATCATTAGCATTAACTCCTCTAAATAGCATCACTAAACCAACAGTAAACCTGCAGATATAAGAAACAAGGTACATATAATAGCCAACAATTTGATAAATCTCTCTCTCTCTCTTTCTCTCACTCATGCGAAGCCAATGTGGCTCGAGTTTGAAGCCTAAGATCATCTCCAACCGAACTGCATACCATTGTATGCCGTTCGCGAATCTCTGCATTCAAACTCCAAATCTCACGCCAAAAATCGGTAGGTGAACAGTGCGGCGCCAATATTGGCGTCAGACTATTCACCTACATAAAAAAAAGTGATTACCTTGGCTTAGCTTCGCAGGAAGCGCGTGAAATAGGAGAAAGATGGTTACCTTCACAAAGAAGTGCGTGAAGAAAGAAAAATGGAATTCCATTGGAGATGAACTACTGCATTTTGAAGTTTTACAGCATTTTAGAGTGAAAAATGGGGTTTTCAGTTGGAGATGCTCTAAGAAAGAAAAACAGTAAACCCCAAAAGGTTTGACAAATTTCATTCAGATGAGAGAAAGAGTATAAGTATGGTAATTGATGCTGGGAGCAGAGGAATATCAAGCATTCAAATAAGTGGTTATTAACAAGTAAGCAATCTTTAGAAGGTCAGTTTAGTGGGGGAAAAAAGTTGAAACTAACGGAAAACAAAAAATAAAGATAAGATATCTGTGTACAAGAAGCAAAGAGGCAAAACTACAAAATGCTTACCCAGCTATCAGCAAAAGCAGGGCAATCACACACAGAACATACTGGTAAACCTTGTGCTTTGATTTGACCTGACTTGCAGCAGGAAGATTGTGGCGTTCAATCCAACCAAACTGAGGTCGGAGCAACATGACAAATCCCAGAAGGAAACCAGATAAAAAGCCTCCAATATGAGCAAAATTGTCAACATGGGGAAGTATTCCAATAGCCAGATTGATCACAGTGATTGCCAACAGTGTAAATAGAGCTGCAGCCTTAAAAAAGAAAACAAAAGTGATCCATGAAGTTAAATACTGAAGTGATACAAACTTAGGCTTTGTTTGAGACGGCTTTTTTACGGTTTCTTAAAGCAATTTTTTAATACAAAATTTTTAATTTTTATACTGGAAAGTTGCTTTAAGAAGCAGTAAGAAAGTCGTCCCAAATGAAACCTTAAATGCAAAAGATCTAAATTTTACTTTGTTGGTATAGATGCTCCAGTTTGTTATCAGCTCTGATAGCATTGCTCCAAGAAGCCCAAACAAAGCTCCCGAAGCACCAACGGATATATTGTTCGTCCTGATGAAAAGTGTAGACAGAATGCTACCTCCAAACCCAGAGAGAAGGTATATTATACCTATACGCGCTTCAAAAAGATCAAAACATAACGTTAAAAAAACAGGATAATGGCAAAACATACTAATGCTGTTAAAATTTCAACTTCCCACAATATAAAGTTGGGAAAAGAGTAATAGATTCAAAGAGAAAGGAGTATTCATAACAAGTTCTTTCCTATATGTAAATTACAAACTCAGCATTTACTCTATGGGCTTCATTTGGGGTGGCTTTCTTACTTCTTCTTAAAGCAGTTTTTTAGTCCAAAATTTTTAATTTTTTTACTAGAAAGCTGCTTTAAGAAGCAGTAAGAAGGCCGTCCCAAACGAAGCCTATATGATATCAGAAATACGACACAATAAAGCTTACCAAAACCAAATTGCTGCTCAAGGCGAATCCCAATAAAAACCAGACTGAACATATTGGCCAACAAGTGGATAACACCGGCATGCAACCAAATGCACGTAATAAGCCTCCATCCTTGATGTTGATGAACAATTTTGTCCCATACAAGAGCTCCCAACTTCTCCAATCTTAAAACAAAGGTAGACATTTAAGTCAAAGCATGTCTTTTATAAACTATTAGAAAATTGTTATCTCGCTAACTACACTGATTAAACCTTCCTAACAGTACGCCCTTCAAAATCTAAGATGCAATCATAAGCAAAAGTATTAATTAGGTTAGGCCAGTCCATTGATGATTTGCCCAATAAAAAGCTCAGCTGTAATACAGTAGAATTAAAATGAACTCATTTTTGAAGGTGCCATTTAGGATCAATTTTGATTTTTTATTTTATTTTGTTTAGATTTTAAAATGAAATACAACATATTTTATATCTTAAAAATATGTTTTATTTTTATTGAATTTTGAATAATAAAATTTGCAAGCATATCTTCATTTAGATTTTAAAATGAAATACAATTATCATTTAAATCTAATAAAGAAATGTCATTCCTAATATTTTCTAACCAAGTCTTTTTAGGTCTACCCCTACCTTTCTTAACATAAGTCAAATCTAATACCCCTACTCTCCTAACCGGGTCATCGGAAGGCTGCCGTTTTATGTGACCAAACCATCTAAGGCGACTCTCTCTAATCTTATCTTCTACTGAAGCTATTCCAACCTTTTCACGTATATGCTCATTTCGCATCCTATCTCTAAGGGTAAAGCCACTCATCCACCTGAGCATCCTCATCTCTGCCACACTTAACTTAGTATTATACTTCTCTTTTAATAGCCAACATTCGGCACCATAAAGCATTGCAGGCCTCACTACCATCTTATAGAATTTTTCCTTAAGTTTGAGGGGTACATATCTATCACATAGCAAGCCCGATGCATTCCTCCACTTCAACCAACCAACTTGAATTCTGCTGATAATATCCCCATCTATTTCACCATCACTCTGAACAATAGATCCAAGATATCTAAAACGTGTACTCTTATTAATGACTTGATTGCTCAAAGTCACAATCCCTTCACTAGGTCTATTACTACTAAAATTACACTCCATGTATTCCGTTTTAGATTTACTCAAGCGAAAACCTTCAGACTCTAAGGTTGACCTCTATAATTCAAGTTTACCTTTATCTCCCTCTCTAGTCTTATCAACAAGAAGAATATCATCAGCAAAAAGCATACACCAAGGTATATCCTCCTGCAAATATCTAGTGAGAACATCCATGACTAAAGCAAAAAGATATGGGGTTAAGGCTTTAGTAAGCTAAGAAATTCCTTCATCTCCTAAGCATTACCACACCTCTATTGGAATATCATCAGGTCCAACAGCTTTTCCACCCTTCATTTTCTTTAAAACCTCTCTAATTTCAGTTTTACTAATAAGCCAATAAAAACATAAATCTTTATTTTTATTTAGGGAGCTAAGGTCACTATAGTCAATCTTATTTTTCACAATCTTCATTAAAAAGTTTAGCAAAATATCTCATCCACCTTTGTTGAATATCATCTTCTAAGAAAAGTATTTTTTTATCTTCATCCATAATACATATAAACAATAAAGTGATTAATTGAATCTGAATATAAAAAACTGCTGAAGCAAGAATAAAGTTGAGCCCCCCTGTAAAAATTTCTAGCTATGCCACTACTATTTAGTCAGCCTCTCATATGAAGTATAATTATCACAGCTAAAAGAACCTTGTAGAAGTATCATCTATTATTCATCACTCAAATATCTTCAAATTAAACTTTGAACCACCAAACTAGTAAAACACGCCATAAGCGGCAAGTCATTCGCCGTTTTAACAAAGCAGATGAACGGATAATATGGTAGCATTATCTTAATAGGAAATACCCAATAAAATAGAGCCATCAACAGGCTCAGATGGAAAAAAAAAGAGGCAAATTACATTAATAATCAAACAGTATCAAGATGTTTTGGTAAACTAAGCACGATAATATTCAACCAAACTCTAGAAAATGATTTCCAAGAGAAGCAATGAACAGTTTTCCCCTTCTATCCAATGATTTAAGCAAGTTCTTAACAATGAAGAAAATCAATAGGCACAAATTTGATTAAACAGCTACAACGATATTTATATGAAATCTACTAGCAAGCAGTAAACCATTTTTCCAGTTGCTGAATACTTTGAGGTTAGAACAAGGAACACCGATATTGACTTTGAATTACTGACAGAATTGAGAGGCATCGACACCAAATTTAAGATCACTGGACTGAGTTAATTCTTCACAATCTCACTGAGGCATTCGTTACGGCACAAGCAGATTGAAAACTAAGGAATTTATTAATAAAAATGGATTAGGTTGATGGAATCAGATCTAAAAGAATTAAAATAAGTTTTCTTGCATAACCGACGGAAGAAAAAAAGCAAAAGGGGTTTACCTCCACCGGCTACAATAATACCGATTTAGGCTGATACCAAAACAAAAAAAGAATCGAATCTTTCCACAATTAAAACTCCACCTAAACCAAAATTGGACGATAAAAGTTCCCGAATTCTACTCACGTGGAGGAAGAGGGGCCAAAGAGGGGATTCTCATGCAGCGGCTGAAAGGAGAATCGATGGAGAAATCTCGCCACACAGGATCCGTAGAAATTGGAGTGAGCGGGGCAATTGTTCATATACATGGCCACCACAAAGAACGCCACGTTCGCCGCCACAAACAACGGCACGATCCACGGCGTCCATTCCCTCTTCACCATCGAATCAGAATGGTAATAAAACTGAGACGGCTCCGCCGCCACCACTTCGTTTTGGCCACCGACCCGGCCGCCCCTCCCTTTTCCGTTCCTCACTCCGCCGCCGCGCTCCATGTCGATGTTAGACATCACTGCAGCTTGACAGAGAAATCGTAAGAAGGTATGAGAGTGGATAAGGTTAAAGCAGAAGAGAGAGAAGAGGGAAGGGAGTAGCTTGAGAAATCGGGAAAAGCAGAAACTGAAGAAGAAGAAGAAGCTGCTGCAGCTAAGGAGGCGGTTATCTGAGTGAAAGGTGGAGAAGGTAGAAGCGAAAGTGGGCAGTATTTTATATTTTGGGCGGACGGGTTCGACCCGGGGAAGAATTAACCCGTAGAACCGATAGGATTATTAAGTAATTATCTGTAATTAATAAACATAATTAGCTAGCTGTATTACTTCCCGTGCGCATGCTACTCTTTGGAGGAGAATAATTATTCTTTATTATTTTTTTTACCCTTACAATAATTCCATAGAGATTTCGAGATGAAGGGCCTCTTTTGTTTGTTTGCATAGTTAATAAGGTTGGTGGAGAACCTGTTGTAGAAGACGTCAGAAAGAGCTATTAGTATAATAATTAGAGTTTTTTGGTTGGGAAAAGTAAACGACTTTTTTTATTTGATAAAAAATATTCTGAAGATATTTTTATCTGCCTAAATGAAATAATGCCAATCTTTAAGAATAAAATAAATGGTTGATCTTTATTAAATAATATATTATCAGTTTAGATGCATTAAAAATTTTAATAACTTAATTTCTATTTTTTTAAGTATAAAATAGAATCTGATCCTGTGCTGGAATATTTGCAATTATAGAGAGATAATGAGTTTAATATTTTATCTTTGCACGAAGAACTAGCGTATATATAGATAAGAGAGGAATACAATAATTTTAAAAGTGTTCAAAATTTTTATTTGAAAAATGTAGGAAAGAGAAAAACCACTGAGACCGATACAATTAACATTATTCCACTAGTATTTTTATTTGATTACAAGTGAAGCACTTCATTGGGAGAAAAATATTGATAATGTAAAGAACATATTACGTGGTTGAAGTTGGAAGAGCTCCATGATATATGAGCTATTTTTTATAAGTTAAATGTTGATATTGATGACATGCATTGATTTTATAAATGGTGGTGTGTGTTAACATTATTAGTGATGGTAAGCAATAAAATTAGTAGGCATTGGAGTAGCCATGCAATAATGATCAAAACATAGTAGGTCGATGGATCGTAATCAAGCGGCGATGGCCGGAGAACCGTAGTTATACAATGCTGGTTGAAGGACTATGATTGAGCAATAAAGGTTAGAAGACTGCAGTTGGGAGACAATGGTCGAAGGACTACAATCGGACAACGATGGTTTGAAGATTATGATGGTAGGGAGGCCACGATGGTCAAAGGGCCATAGTTGGGCAACGTCGGAGAACTGTGGTCAATGGGCGTTGGAGGTCATAGAGCTATTGTCAGCGAGCAACGAAGGTCGAAAGGGTCGTAGTCAGATGATGGATTTAGAGGATATTGTTGGGAGATGGTAGCCAAAGAATCGTAGTCGAGTGATGCTGATTTGAGGATCATAGTTGATGGGCCATGGAGATCAAAGGACTATAGTTGAGTGACAGTGGTTGAAGAACTATAGTTGTTTGACAATGAAGGTCAAAAGGATTATAGTCGAGCTATAGTGATCCAATGATTATAATGAGGTGATGGAGAGACGATAGTTAGAGGATTGTAGTCAGTGGACAACAAACTTTAGAAGGGCCATCATGGTCAATGATGATTAGAGTCTCATAATTGGATGACTGTAGTCAGAGAATTGAAGTCAGATGACAGATATCAAAGGACCTTTATAGTAGACAGTGGTCGGAGGACCATATGTAGGCAACAATGGTCCAAAAACTATAGTTAGTGGGTGACAGAGGTAGAAAAAATGTAGGTGGGTAATAATGGTTGGAGAATTGTAGTCGATGGGTGACAGAGGTAAAAAGGACCAAAGTCTAGTGACGCTGGTCTAAGGTCTATAATCTTATGATAGAGGTTGAAGGACCATTGTCGGGAAATGGTGTTTGGAGGAACATAGTCGACGGACTATAGAGATTAGAAGGGCTATAGTCATGCAATGCTTTGGAGGATCGTAATTGGGTGACAGCGGTCTGAGGACCATAATAGTTTGTCAACGAAGGCCAATGTTGATGATCAGGTGATGGCTTGGTGGTGGTGCTTTGATATCCTTAGAGTCTTAGAGCTTTTTTAAATCTCAAGACAAAGTCCCAACTCCAAGTTCAAGCTCCTCCCTCCCCCATATACATAGTGAGGAACTATTTTTAGATTTTTGAGAGTGACATGCCCATAAATATGAAGAAAATTTGGAATACTCCATCAAGCGACCCATATTAATTCCTTTAATCATAAAACATTAATTCCTTTAAGTGTCTTAATGATGTCAGAATTAAGCTATTGTAAACTCGCTAGATTGGGCTCATCGAGCAGCTCAATTCGATTATAAGCATGCCAAATTCGAAAATTATTTGATCATTCAATTAATTTCCTCAAGTTTTCAACTACATTTTAGACCTATGATTTGAGCTCATTTGGGCTAGGATTTGAACGTATTTTGGTGTCATTGGGTTCGTCTCATCGAAACGTTATGTTTGATTATAAATTTCTGAAATTGGAGTTTAAATAGCCTTGAATTTAAATTTTGAATTTTTTTTATTTAAATATCCCTCCAAATTTGTACCAACTCAAGGTGATTTTTGATGATGGATCAAATATAAACAATAATAAAAATAATAATTTAAGAAGCTCATAAAAAACACAAGAGTTACTGCATGAAAATTTGGGAAGAGAAAAATTATGATGTGTAGACTAATTTAAATTATACACTATGTAAATCAAGATTACAAAAGTTCATTTCTCCTCTCAGTGGAGATGATGTTATTACAAGGTAAGGACTATTTTTTAAGCCTCCTATAAATTAGTACAAATTATTGAAGAAATAGTGAACTATGATGACAATGATCAAGGGATGATTGTTACTATATAGACATTAGTGCCGCTAGATGATGGTGGTCAAGAGTAAGTCCTCCGATGATGATAGTCATAAGATAATGATTGCTAGCAGTGATTATTTGTGTAAACTTTTGAGTCTAACTCTACGTTTTTAGCTCCAATAAGATCTCACCAATTTTAGATCCCTCGCATGTGAAAAATATAGGTTTATTTAGAGCTAGGACTGTGTTTTGCTTATTTTAGCTAAAATTATCACACAAAAACTCCATTGAACGTTTCATATTGATTCATTTAATCATAGGTCATTATTAGGACATTGAAGTGCCTTAATAATTTTTAGAATTGATTGATACCTAAATTATGTATTTTGAAACGCTTGTAAAAGTCGAGGCGATGCGAGCCTCTACATGCCTTTTTAACTTAAGGAGAGACACCGCTTCTAATATATATGAGATTTTATTAGTGAAGAACATCGTGGCTTTTTTTATTAGTTTTGCAAGTACTAAATCTAATTTGATTTAATTTAATAACATTTGATCATTAAAAAATAAAAGGTTATAATGGCCAATCAAATTCATAATAAATATGAATAAATGTTTGTTTATTTATGTAACTTTTAATTTTATGAAATTCAAATATAAGCCCGATTCAAATTATATCTCTTTATAATTAGTGACATGAAACCTTTGATATGCAAGTGTTGGGTAAAGTTACCGCAGGCTCTAAATTAAGTAGATGTAAATTCATGCAATGGTTATATTTAATTATTTGGTCAACCACGTGGATTGAAATTTTCTTAATAGATAGCTTTAATTAAAATATAGCTTTTATATAGATGTTTGGAGAATTTCAAATGGGTTAGAATTAATAGTTATTGGTGTTATTAATTTAGAGAGTGTTTTAATAGTTTAGATAGAAAGAGATGCTCGCTCCATAATCGAATAAAATATGACGAAATAATATAGATATAAGAGTCATATTTATCACAACGTTCGGCATCTCTTTCGCCTCCTATTATGTCAGATTGTATACATTGCGATGTACTAGAGTCTAGAGCTGGATTAGCCACTGCAATGGATTCCCTATGAGCTCCTCCTATTGCCCACCAGACTGCCACCTCCAAAGTTGCCACCACTATCCCTCACTAACAGTTAAGGACATTGCACCCCCCAGTACGACTTTCGTTTTCCCTTTCGCTCCTCTTTCGCCCCTAAACGGAGACCGCCCGTTGCAAATATTTATGTCTTCTAAGCTCTAAGGGTCATGTTATTTGCATTCTTAATTTTGATCTTACAACTCCTCATGACTCCGATAAAAAGACGGCAAACAAACCATTTTAATGTATTCTAACATTTCATATGAGACGGCAAACAGAACTATATATATACCTTGTTGTACTTTCACATTGCTGTTATAATGAACTGACTTCTGGAATAGAACATGCAATTCCACTTAAATTTTCATAAAACATTAAAGTATAATTGTATATGAATAATATAGTGTACTTATCAATATAATATTCTTTTGTATTTAAACTCATTTTATTTACGAAAATATTCTTTGCATTAAACTTATTTCATTTAACATAATATACAAATAGATGAGTTGCGATATGCATGTCTTGATGCATACTAATAACTTCACTTCCACTTATACCTCCCTCAGTTAACCTCCACTAAGTGAAGGAAACCATTATGAATCCTTATATAACGCTACTTTCACTTATGCTTCCCAAGAACATTCCATACATGGATAAGTAGATAAGGCCAGAAAAAACTTCTCATATCTGAGATGGGGACAAAATAAAAAAAATAGAACAAGATATAAGTTGGGCTCGTATTATAGAATTTAAAATTTCACTTTAATAGTCTTCTATATCAGAACTTCCAACTTATGAACATGAATGCACATGCAAAGATAAACATAATTAACATAATTTCATAGTGTTGAGGATGATTAAGAACACATGTGCCACACCTTAAGGGATGATGCATATATATAAATTGGCCAATATTTTGAACATTTACCATTTGGCAAATCATTTATAGAGGATCTTTAAAATATCATTTCAAGACTTTTGATGAAGTATAACTAATGCCAAATTTATCAATTTAATAAGAAACATTCAAAAATTTGCCTAGATGAAACCAACAAGTAAAATATTGATTTCTTATAGTTAACTGATCAGAATTAAGCATTCAATAATATACCATAAATTACACAATGAAGGATTTATAACACTCATTAAAAGCACCTTTACT